AAGGATTGTCGCTTCCCAAGGATCCTGCATCACCATCATGCATGTCTTTTTTTAAATCCTGAAATATGTCTCCTGATGAGGGGGGAGGGGGGAGGGGGGGAGGGGGCGTGCTTGGCTTTATAGCCCTTCTCCTGGGCTAAGGTAAGGCTGCTTCAGTCGGGAGGGGAGTGCATTGAGATGACAAATGTTATTTTCTTTTTCTTTGACATGCAGGCCGTCCTCGCAGACCTTTCAACTCTGAAGGTCATGCCGCTCATCCAGGTCTTTCTGTTTGCCACCTCCATCTGAGGAAACTACGGGATAGAAGTCGTACCCACGGACGGCTGGAGGATGCTACATCACAACGTTATAAGAACCAAGCTAACACTTACTAATAAACAAAAAACAAAACGCTAAAGTGTGCAATATCAAGGAGTAATGGACACCTATACAAGCAGAACATCCTCCATCTTGCACTACTCCGCAGCAAAAAGCCAAACCCCCCCTTTAGCATGTGTGCACCATGAATAGTGAATCCCCCTGTATCATATTATAAGATATCATACATTATGTACATATAGCCACCACACCAATAAGGTTGAACTAACCTCCCTCTTAAGCCATATGCGGATCGTGTTTCCTGCAGAGCAGCTCTGGGATCCGCCGAGAAGCTCGGTGACCGTGCCGCGATGAGAGAACAACAGCAGCATCTCCAGGCTCGACTAATGAAGTGTTAATTAGCCGCGCGGCTCTCGCTCGTTGTTAAGCTATTAGATGACGCTGTCGCTGATGAGTGAGGAGAATGGAAGCACCAGCGTGTTGAGGAAAGGACGCTTTAATATGTAACCTGTAGGACTAGAAGCTGCTGCGTACACACATTTATTCTATTTATGAAGAAATATATTACAACTGCACTCTTAAAGGACCTCCAGTGCCAGTGTTTATTTTATTTGATCATTCTATGGTTTTTTATTTTATGTATTTACTACCTGAATGTAATAGCTTACTTTGTATTGCTTTAAAAGAAAAAACAACACAGTGTATGTTCACTGTGATTTTAATGCAATCAAATCATTGTTTCTTAAATATACAGTAAATATTATTGTTTGTAAGTCAGTGCCAAGGTTTTCATCCGACACATGTTCCATGTTTATTGCAACCTAGAGAACAATTTTTTTTTTTATATGAAATAAATGAACTTATTTGTTGAATCGCTTGCTTTGGTTTTATTGTGTAAAAGCTTAAAGTCTCAGCACACTGCTGCCTGATCTCTCCTCCTCCTCCTCCATGATGGAATATTTCCCAATGTTTATTTGAGAAGGTAAATATTTGGACAGGGAGGACTGTACTTTGGAGGCTTATCATTTCAAGAGTAATTGACAGGTAGCCGTATGAAGGGACTTGACCGCCTCCTCGTCACCCTCCTCCCACACGCAGCATCTGCTCTGTTCCTGCCTCGTTGTTGGCTGCCTTCCTCCCCGCTGCCCCCTCTGTGGGCTCGTATCGAATTATGCTTGTCTTCTCTTTCGCCTCTCTCTCGCTCCCGCTTCAACTGCCACCTGTTTACTGGTCCTCCCACCACCTTTATCATGCCCCCCCCCCCCCCCCCCGCTCTGGCCTCCCACCAGTCTGTTCCTCCTGAGACAACACTTACCTGCTGTGCAGATTACTCTTACACAAACCCAGGTCACTCCTGCTGCTCCATTTGTTGCATTAATGAGATATGGACCTTCTGTATGTCCACACTCTGATGTTGGGCCTCTAAAAGATTTCTTGCACAAAGACGTGCAGTGACTGAAATAAGGGTTTTGAAAAGTTATTATTATTTTTTAGATCTCTTTTTGGGGCTATTAATTCCTTGAGATAGGACAGTGAACAGAGTCAGAAACTGTGGGGAATGGGGGCGCTGGTGGTGCAGTGGTTAGTGTGCGCACCCCATGTATGTATGGAGGCTGTGGTCCTCCAAGCGGGCGGCCCAGGTTCAAATCCCACCTGTGGCTCCTTTTCCCTACTCTCTTTCTCCCTTATTTCCAACTCTATCCACTGTCCTATCTCTCCAATAAAGGGACAAAAAGCCCAAAAATAAATCAAAAAAAAGAAACTGTGGGGAAGCAGTCACAGGTCAGACTCGATCCCAGGCTTCCTGCTGCGAAGGACAACAGCATCTGTACACGGGGAGCGCTAACTAACCACTAATCCACGATCGAAGGAACGAAGGAATTTCTTCTTGTTCAAGATGATGTCAAATGACACTACTACATTTACACCAGTATCAGATTGAACATTTGAACAATGAGACAACATTGTATAATGCCTCAGTCTTAGTTGTTTTCATTCAAGTAAAAATAAACTACACATTCTTGCACGACTTGCACTTAAGTCAAGCTCAAACCTTCATTGAAAAATGAAGTTAATGAGGGATTGCTACAAACATAATTTCCTCAAGTGGCCACTAGAGGCTGGCTGCAAAAGCCAAGAAATCCCCATTACAGTATTTATTTCAGTAAAGAAATAAACACATTTTCAGACAGGTTGTTAACAAAATAGTATTGATAGCTTATTTCTTTTTCGGTTTACAGTGTACAGGGGATACTTTTTTATTTTTATAACTCATCTGTTTTGATTAATGAGTTTGGCATACATTATTAGTGGCATTGCTGAGGTGATTGACAGGTGGGCATGTGTAGCAGACGTAAGATGGTTGCTTGTAGGGTGCAAAGGAAGGCACCGACACAGGATCAGGATTTTACTTGTAATTCCTGTAATGCAGGAAAGGGGTACAGAAAGGTCGCTCACACAGACACGAGCAATGGCGTGGTCTCTCTCCCCATCACAGAACTTTCCCACTTTTTTTTCTGTCTCTCACAATACAAACAAAACAATTTCACTACTTTCAGCCACAGAAAGGCATACAAAAGAAAATAAGTACACCATGCAGAGTTAAAAAAGTACTTGTTGCAGTAAAACCAAAATGAAAAGTATATTGCTTTTAAAAGGTGTGGCTGTTATCTGAAAATAAATATCTTAAACAAAACAAGAACAAACATATTAAACAAAGGCTAATATTAAAAATATTTAATGTAATTAGCTTAAAATTGCATGAAATGATCTCATAAAAGTACAACAAACATTGAAACATCATAACGCACCATGCAGCAAAAGGGCACAGAAAAGTCCCACAGACATGAGCAATGGTGTAGTCTCTCTTCCCTGCAGCGAGAGCCAGATATGCAAATGAGGCAAAATGTCCGACGAGTTTTTATTTTTTTATTTTTTTAAGATTTATTTTTGGGCCTTTTTGTGCCGGGGAAAAGAGAGCGGGAAAGGAGCCACAGGTGGAATTTGAACCCGGGCCGCCCGCTTGGAGGACTACAGCCTCCATACATGAGGCGTGCGCGCTAACCACTGCGCCACCAAGCGCCCCATCTCTGACGTTTTTTTACATCATTTTTCCGTCTTTGTCGACTAAAATCAATAGTAAAGCTAATTTCCAAATTCACAACATACTACCATTACGTTATTACACAATTTAGAGCAAATTTCACATATTTCACAGTCACTAGCTTAAAACAAGAAGAGAGCATCACAACACGTCTTACCTTTACCAAACTTTTCCCACTTTTGCCGGGAAAGAGCAACTTTGTCACAAAAGTGTCTGAGTGCATCATTAAGTAGAGTCCCCCCACCTTAACCCCATGGAATAAGTTTCAACTTTTGTGTCAGTAATTATTCCAAACATTTCTGAGACGGTTCACCAACATAAACAAATGATTAATTATAAAATATTTACTCAGCTACACATGTTATAGCTGTTTGTCAAGAGGCTTAAGGCCCACCTCAGCTCCAACACCGCCTGTTTCTAAATTGATCGAAGGTTTGGTTCAGTCAGCATTTCCAATATGGTGACCACCATCATTGGGCTTCATACATCTGTTCAGAAACCATTGGGTGACCTCACAGAGACCAAGTCCATACAGTTTTACGATTTAGATGCATATCTAAATCATGATATAGCCTAAAGTAAAAACCCATCATGAATATATGTACGCTACTGTTTTTTTATTGCGACAGATAAAATCACAATTCAACCCGCCTTTACATTGTCAAATATGCCTCCAACTGAATATCTACTTTTAAACCTATCTTCAAATGACCTTCAGATAAGAATGTCATAAAAGTAATATATTTCACTCGCTTACAGTGACATCTATTGATAGTAACTTCATTGGTAGTTTAGTTATTAGTGGTTAATAACTGTAACAATAACTCCACAATGGAATTAGGTTTTTATTTGTTATTCTAAATATTTTTTAGGCCCACTGGCAGTTGTAGTCATGCCCCCTAATAACCAATAATAACACTCTTATGGTCAGAAAAATAGGTTGAAAAGTGAAAAAAAAAAAAAACATGGCATGTGATGACGTTCATCAGACATTATGATGAACTATTTTTGTTATTTCCCGCGACGAGTACCTTCAAAACAGAAAAAAAAAACAAAAAAAAAAAAATGCTGTCTGAACCACCCAATCAGGCTCTGCCATGTTGGGACACTCCAGCCAATGAGAGCGCTCAGCCTCGGAGGAGAACTCGCATGGGCCGGCGTGCAAGTGGAGAACAATGAAGCGTGTATCATCGTGTGCGTCACACTATGACGGAGGGAGAACACTAACGTGAGGTGTAGGAGGATGATGTTTCTACTTTTTTTCCTTTTTGGAACAGCAGCCTTTAAATAGATTGACAGCAGTGGGTAAAGGGGGCCCGTGAAACCCCTGCTTGAAACCCCGGGGGGGGGGCATTGTGGGAGTGACACCCTGCTGGTTTTACAAACCTTTATAGCCTACTGAATCCCCCCTCAAAACAAAAACAAACCCGGTCAGCGACAGGAAAGTAATCACAGCCAAATTAAAAGTCCTGCCCCCCCCGCCACCTCCACAACCTCCACCTCCTGATGTCAAACATTTTGCATACCGACTTCCGCCCCGCTTGGCTCCCTCTCTCTCTCTCCCTCTCTCTCTCTCTCTCCCTCCCTCCCTCCCTCTCTCTCCCTCGGTCGGTCTGCATCAGCCGGCGAGCAGCTAATATGACAGGCGGGAGGATACAGTATCACACCGAGCCACGACACGCTGACTTAAAAACTTCATTTGGAAAGTAGGCGGATGTCGTGTGCTGTCGATAGATGGATTAGGGGAAACGGGGGACGAAGACGCGGCTGTGTTTTTTGATGCAATGGGATTTGCTACTTTCGTGTGAAGAGGCGGACCTGTGAGACGCTGCGAGTTCAATATGCTGAAGCTGTACCCGGTGTTTGTATACTGTACGTGGAAGTACAGGGACTATATTCTACAAACAAACAGGCATACGTAAAGGATATATAACATTTATTCATTGTAGCGTGTGGATACCCACGCTTTAAAAGCTACTACCATTTTTTGTCTCTTTTTTTATTTATTTATTTTTGGACAGGGAATTCCTTCAGATAGGCTGCATGTCTGGATTCACTACACGTTTTTTTTTTCTTCTTAATTCTTAATTTAAAAAAAATAAGACATGGGGGTCTCATTTGGTCTTAGCTCCAAGCAGCTCTGGAACAGCAGGTAAACGCATTAGAGACTATTAGTTTTGTTTTGAGGGTGGTCTTCCGTAAGAGTAGTTTAAACTTGCCTTTGACCCACCATGAACTATTCTTTTATCGGCATTTTTCACGCTCCTGTGAGGTTTTCTGACAGCAGTTAGCCGGTACGTTTAAAAACCACTCTACTGCGGATTTTTTTTAATTTTTTTTTTAACAGTAAATTTGTGGTGCATTTTTTTTTTCCCCCACTCTAAAAAAAAAAAAAAAAATCATATCTACTCTAAAAAGACTGACATATATATATTTGTATCTCTTCCCCTCGTGAACCTGACATTTTTCGGGGTTTCCTCCCCCTCCATCAACTATCCCAGTCCTACGGATACGACTTGCTTTATTTTCACCTTGTATTTTTTTTTCCACCATGAGTAACATGCACATCGTATTGAATGTATTGCTACGTGGACTCGTCATCTATGCGGTACTGGGCTTGGAGTGCACTTACTCGAATGATCTAGCCAGCCACTCGTCTGATGCTGCAAATGTAGCCACCACAGGTAAGCGCATGTTGGATACAAAGTGTCTCCAATGTAATTACGCATGTTCAGTCCCCCCCTCCCCTTTTTTTTTTTTTTACCCACATCCTTTTTTTTTTTTTTCCCGGTGGCTTTCTCGGGAAAGCCCTGCGCAGGGGGGGGGGGGGGCCTTAATGGAAAGTGATGCATTTGGTGTCGACAGTCACCTTTCTCCCACCCCCTCCCCACCCACACCTCTGTACATTGCCGAGGAATGCGTGACATGACAGGAATGCAGGATGCATCCATACTGAGGGCAGGACTAATTACTGGAACACACATTTTGCCTGATACACATCTTCAGCATCTGTAGCATCAAATGTCCTACAAGCCACAAGATAGTCCTTTCCAGCTAGAAGTCCACCTAAATGCTCTGTTTTTACATGAGTGTGTGCACTGAGTGGTGCTGATCGTAGCCAGAAGGCCACAGGTACTCCCCCCCACCCCACCCCCACCTCTGAAATTCAGCTATTGACATAACCTAATGAGATCAGGATTTCCATCTATTTGTATCTGCTTTAACCCAGCAGTATCGATCGGCCGTTCATTTGACAGGCTTTTATACATGACCTAAATCGACTAAGTTCAACAGGGACCCACGTGTACAAAGTGTGGGTTCTCTCCTTTTAAAACGCTTGGTGATTTCAGTTTATGAACGTGTCACTGAAAATGTAGAGCTATCTGAATAACTTGAATCTAAAACAGTGAAGGTTGTTGTTTATAATGACATTTTAAAGGGTTACATTTACTCTCTGTTTGCCTACGTGACAAAACCATTTGTTTGTATGCAGTCAGAGATTCCCTTCGTTATCGTTAGTAACATAGACAGATATGTATTGAAAGTGACATTAGGCTACAGTATTTACAATCCAGGACTGCATATTCATATATTAACAGAATCGTGCTCATCTGTTCTAATGAAGAGACCATGAAGAGATCATTTTCTCTCGCTATCTAGATGTATACAAATTAAAAAAATAAAGTAATCCTTGAACACGTAGTTTTTGCACTTAAAGCGGTGGAGTATTAACCTCCAGCAGATGTCCTTTACCTTACTCCCCTCACATCCCATTAGAGGCAAATCGTCAGTCATGACTCACACAGGGCGCCACTAATGCAAATATTCAAAGGGAAAATCCCATAAAGGTAAATGAATTATTTTTAGTTTAAGTGTTTCGTTTTAGGCTGTCGGCACATCCACTAAAAGAGGTGTGTTGTACTTTTAACATTGACATAGGGAAGTTAGGCGCCCCAAGTGTAGACACAGACACACACACACACAAAAAAAAAAAATCTGAATGGAGGTGTATGTTCAAGTAACGCATTGGTCCATTCCCGGCACGTCTTTTACTGCTGCTGGAGATCGTGATAAACGTCGTCTCTGACAGCTGTTAAGCATTCCTGATTGTCTGTATACGAGCTCCTAAAAACAAAACCTGATAAACCATGGACAATATGTTGATCAGGACCAACGTAAGCTCAGCTTCAGATGCTGCAGACAGTGCTGAGAGTACTCTGTAAAAAGTTATTATCCCAATAATAACAGCAGACCGATACATCAGTCGGACCTCCTCAAACCGCTCAGTTCGAATGCTCTTAAGTGAGACTTGAACATCACTGTTCAGTTCAAAACTCTAAAGGTTTCTGTTGCTACAGCCTTTGTTGATCTGGTGTGACAAGTAGCCTAACTCCATGGTACAATGTTGCTGTAATACATAATAAAACTAACGCTAACGCTTGATAAAAGCTCCGCAAGTAGAAATCAAACACAGCTCCATCTGCCGATGAAAAGTTCAGTCCAAAGGGAGTGAAGTACATTCTTAAATTCAGCTCACCCACAGGCTCTGTTGCTTCAGCCTCAGTAGGTGTGATGTCACAAGTGTCTCTTTGTGACTAATGTTTGCTAACTTAAGGGAAACGTCTCCGTGTGACATTCTAAAGTTCATGTTTCTCTTTGACTGTAGCTTAGCATTTTAGCTAAAGGCCAGAGCGGCACTGATTACGCACTTGCTTAAAGATATGATTTATCATAACGTCTTTGTGGGATGTTTGCACATTCAGAAATGTGGTTATGTCGCTGAGGGATGCCTGTCGTTGAGAGTTACTTCTTGCCTGCAGACAAAGATATTTATTTTATACACATAAACCTGTTTCTGTTGATTGGTGTAACTGCAGTGTTTATTCAGCATGCATGATTTTTTTTGTTTTTGTCCTAATCATTGAGGTTAAGCATGAAGCTATTGTTACTGAAGCGGTTTGGGGTTCAAAGCTGCCATTTAGCATGCTGTGAGTGGTCAGGGGGCGAGACTTAGGGGGTTGGGTTTAACATTTGGTGTGTCAGGCAGCTCCCTTGTGATTTAGGATCTTCAAAGGATCGGGCTAAAGCAAGACTTTTAACAGAGGCTGGTATTTAGGTTCAGGATAAAAGCAGGCGATGGCGATGGAGGATGATTATGTAAGTCTACAAAGTGTAGACAAGTGTACAAAACATTTGATATAAAATCAAACAACAAAATAGCCAAAAGATTCAGTCTTTTGTGAATTCATTATGTCATACTTTATTTTTACCTGACAGAATATTGTCTGATATCTTAAAGGTTGCAGTCGTTTTTTTGCAGCTACAGCTAGTTGTCAGAACTTTTTGCATTGCCCAAAAACATCTTTATGGAGGTCTAGATAAGGCATGTTATCTTAAAGTAGTTATTTCTAAATATCTTTCAGGGTCTTACTTCATGTTGGAGGAATGACAAAGAAGAATCAGGCGCTAAAGCGGTCATTTGAAGTCTGTGTTGCAGAAAAGAGCATGCTGCTGCACATGATTTGTACTGAGCCCAGAGCACATGATTTTCATTGTATTTGTAACACACATGACAATGATTTGAACTCAGTTGACCCTGCATAGGGTTGTTTGTGTGTGCACTTGTGTTAAAGTCATTTCACACTCTGTGTGATCAAAATAATTTGACATGTTTTCCATCTTCACTTTGTCTTGTCATCAGTTGTTTGTCATTGTGTTTCTCGGTTTGTTGCACTGCAGTATGCATGAAATTGTTATTTCTTGTAAAATGGACCAACTTCCTGAGCATATTTTAACATTATATCACCTCGATAGGAGAGGATGAAAAGGTAAAACCTACAAAAACCTACAAAAAACATGTGATGTGGCATTTGTTCTGGGGGATGGGCAGTGAGTGAGGATGTGAACGTGGTCTTCCCCTGTTTTAATAGTGCTGTGTATTTAGCTTGTTTGGCGTTTCAACAAACAAAGCCCTTCCCCCTTGTCTGCAAGGAACATCCAGTCCTCAAATAACGTGCCTGCTTGATGATAGTCGTCTCAGATACGCGGCCCCCATTTAGCATAAGCTTTACATAACTTGCAGATGCTGAAAGTGGCTGCTGTAGGTTAAATTACACAGGCTCAAATGTAGCAAAGCAAACAGGAGTAGATCTTTCTCACACCCTGCATGTCAGAATTTGTTTGTGTAGCTAAATCAGAGGGTACATTGGCTTTCCAATAGCAAAGTGACTGCACGTATTCAGGGATTTGTTTAGAAAGGAGGTTCATCATTTACCTCTCTCACCTGTGCTTGCCTTACTGCAGGGAACTCTGGGATTTGCATGTTGTGATACTTCCGTCCCTGCAGGCTTTGCCCCCCGTACCGTCTGACTAACAAAACGCTTGAGGAAACCCAGGCTTTCCTACTTGCTGAAGTGTTGGAGAGCTTTAGGTTTGCTCCAGGGGGGGCTAATAGTGACGGAGTGTCAGAGTGAACGTGAAGCGAGTCGCAATGTCCTGCTTCTGTGGTGTTCAGCTCAACTGCGAAGCAATTTCCTTTTTCTTTACTGGAACTGATGCTTCTGAAGGGTTCTTCATGAGTGAATTTAAAAATAAAAAAAAAAAAAAAAAAAAAAAAAGGGACTGTGTGCTTCAGAAAGAGTTGAGATTGAACAGATTTTTTAAAAGTCATTTTTTGTCTATTTTTAGAGAGAGAAAGGAAATGTTGGGAGGAGAGAGTGGGGGATGACATGCACCAAAGCGCCGACGTTGGATTCAAACCCACTGCCGCTGCAATGACAACTACAGCCTCTGTACATGGCGTGTACAATATAACTGTTTGGCCATCCAGAACCCCAGATATTGAAACATCTATGACAAATAAGCAAGTTAAAATATATATATAATTTTGATATATTTGCACATCATCGTTATGTTATTTATGCCGCTTGAAGGCCTTTCAATTAAAAGAATTAAAAACACAGTTTGATCATTTTGCCGTCAGGTTCAGATGAAAAGCCAAATCACAAACATTGTCAACAAGCAGTATTACCCCTTGCCACAAATAGTTTTGGCACTATGTAGTCCATTTTTCACAAATTGTTAGAAACATTTGGGATTATGAATATTTGTAGAATTTAGGAAATAGTAAAATTGCATTGGGAAATATTCACACAACGGCAAAGAGAATTTTGAACAGACTTAGCCATTTCTCTTAGCTGAGTCATGCTAACATGCTGAATAGCTATCACCTCTTTTAGCTGGTTTGCGCTTTGGTTTTAGCATCGGAAAAGTACATGTTTCTGGCTTTCAGCTCAGTCTTACCTTTCAGACTGCTGTCAGGTGGACCATTTACCAAGTGGAGCATTGTGTTGCTGAAAAGCCAAATATTCCCCCGGCAGTTGGTGGGGACCAAAATCGAGCTTGAGGCTGAGTTTACATTGGTGGGTTTTGGATGACCAAAAACCTGGATTCAAAATAATGTTGCTCTTGAGATGGTTAATTAAGCAACTGTTTGGAATGGCATTTGCCAAATCCACCTTGTATGATGTCAGTGTTGTGTTCACAATTCATTCCTGCTGCTCCCAAGTGTCGAAAATAAAACTCAATAAATACTACAAAATAAAACTGTCAAATAGGAGCATGGGTCCAGCCATAGATCATTAATTATCCCAAAGGAATCGTCACTTAGTTGCTCTGTCGGCTA